GTGATTGGTTGCTTTTGGACCAATCATGAGGTGCCGGATATGCAAATTTGAGGGATTCTAGTGGCCAATCAGAGCAAGGTTTCGAAGGTCAGGTTTTTTGAAGGGAACCAATCACGGTAATTGTTTGCTCTCTGAGAAACCTCGGCAGACTCGCTGGTGCGCAGCCTCCCACAGTTGGGATTTGGGGCATGCATGTGAATGTGCCCAGAGTGTTTTTCAAGCCACTAGGACTGGGATTCCAACTGCAGTTGGCCATGTGGGAACTGATTTCCTTAACCACTAGGCTGCAGGGATGACTTGAGGACAGCTGATTTTAAGTGACTTTCAAATGTATACAAATTGGTTTTCAACATCTCATAAATAATGTAAATGAGGGGTCAGCAGGTGACGAGATGGTTAAGGGCGCTGGACTCCCACATGGCCAACCAGGGCTCGAATCCCGGACCTGACAGGCTGCTTTCTCACTTTCCTCTCGCTCTCACTTGCTCTCGCTCTCACCCTGTCCCTCTCTGGTCAAATTAAAATGGGTAAATAAATTAATGAAGTTAAATAAAATAATTCTTTAAATATATATATATATAAAGCATTAACTGTAGCATTGTTTGCAGGGATAACTGATACAGAAAATTAAGCCTGAACTACCAATAAAGAGATCATTTAAATAAATTATGGTATGTCCATTCATTGGAATACCATGCAGCTGGTAAAAATGAAGCAACTAGCCCAGCTGTGGTATGCACAGGTAGCACCAATGCTCGAGTGTCTGGAAGCCACTTAGGGAGCCTGGATTTGGTTCTTGTGTCAGCTTGAACATGTCAGGCATGATTGTGCATGCCTGTAATCCTAGCTAATTGGGAGGCTGGGGCATGGTGAGACTCTGTTGAAAACTACCTCTGTCTCTCTTCTTTCTTCTTCTGTCATAAAGGAAAAAATGAGGCTGCCGTTTGCACTGACGTGGAGCATTCTCCACAAGACTCTCTTACCAACTTGATCCACTGGATTTGTAAGCCTGGGTGGTCTGAGTCAAGAATGAAGGGAGAAGCCAGCAGTTGGTGTGGCAGTTTAGGTGTTGGACTCCCACATTGCCAACTGTGGTTCGAGTTCAGAACCCGGTGGCTTGAAACTCACACCAGGGTGCGTGTGTCCCCAAGATCCCAGGAGGTGAATGGAGGAGAAGGGATTGCAGTGTGATCATCCCCCTGGGGGGTGATTTCTCACTTTTCCTTTCACTGTCTCTGTATCTCTTTCTCTCTCTTTGGCAAGTGCACACATCCTAAGGCAAAAATCTTTACCAAAAGAAAAAAAAAATGAGTGAAAGTTTGCATTGTGAGTCCAGATTGTGAGAGATGCCATTTTATCTGCGCCTGTTTGGTTGCTAAGCTCCAGCTTGCAAGTCATGATTTGGGAGGGAAGTTTTCTGTCTGTACTCACAGGGAAATTGCTTCTGCTTGCATGGAAATGATACATGTCAATACCAGGTCAGCATAAAAGAACACAGGCGTTTGTTTGCCTCTGGGAGGTTGTTAAAGGTGGCATCATATTCCTCCCACCACCAGTTAAAAGAAAAACCTTAGGGGCCAGCAGATGGCGTAGTGGTTACATTGCTGAACTCCCAGTGGCTGACCACAGATTTGAGCTCTGGACCCAGCAGCTTGAAAATCACACTGGGCTCATGTGCGTGCGTGCCCAAGATACCGAGAGGAGAATGGAGGAGAAGGGATTGTGGCATGGCCATCCCCCTGGGGAGTGATTTCTCATTTTTGGTCTCTCTCTCTTTCTCAGGTGAGTACATGTGCCATCTAGCAAAAATCTCTCTCTCAAAAATAAAGAAAAAAGAAACTTGGGGTTGGGTGGCTGGAGAACAGGGATCTTTCTGGAGGCCCTAAGTCAGCTTTTATCTTAGCTCAGAGACCCACCAGCCACCACTCATCTTCACCCCCTCGGTCCCACATCTCTGGAGCTCTGGGGGTCTGCCTGGGGGCGGGGAGTGGAGATACCTTAGAATCCTGTACATATTCGCGTTGGAAATTGTGTGGGGACCTGAGCTTTCGCTCATCCCGTACATCTGGCCTATGGGTATGTCCAGGCTCAGGAAGAACTGGGTGGTGTCCTCAGCGAGCGGCGCGGCCCCGCTGATAAAATAGTGGCAGTGATCCAGTCCAAGCACTTTCTTAACCTTGCTGAACACGAGGGCCTTGGCCATGCGGTAGTTCACAGGAGTATCTTGTTTCCTGTGAATAAGAAAGCCGGAGGGGGACCGGCAGGTGGCGTGGTAGTTAAGGCACTGGACTCCCACAGGGCTGACCGCGGTTCGAGTCCCAGACCTGGCAGCTTGCTTTCTTGCTTTCTCTGTGTGTGTGTGTGTCTCTCTCTCTCTCTGGTCAAATTAAAAAATACTAATAATAACAAGTGAAATGAAAATAAATAAATCTTTCTAATAAAAAGGAAAGAAAGAAACTAGAGGAAGTCCAGTGACTACTAAGCCACAGAGAACTGGGGGACCCAGACAGAGAAGACCAAGCCTCCTCACCTGCTCCCCTCCCAGCCCTCAGGCTCCCCCACCTACCCCATCATCTTTTTAGTGTTGACCCTTAAGCCAATGGTTCTTGCCCATGAAAACACCTTCTTCTTCAAGTTCGAGGACCTGGCACCACTCTCCTTTATTCTCTCCTGCATCTTCTCCCAAATCCGGGGCACCCCGAAGAAGACAGTAGGCTTTACTTCCTGCAAAGTATATACCAACGTGCCCTGTATGGGCGCAGACCCAGGTTAGCGGTCGCAATGCCTTCCGGAGACCAGGAGAGCCCATCTTTCCCCATCCACCCAACCCACCTGTGCCTGTAAGAACATTCCCTTTGCTGATTGGACCAAAGTGGGCTCCCAACCCAAGGGAACCATCCCATTGGCTGGCCAGTGGCCACTCTGATCTTTACACTCTCTCTAGAAATGTTATGGGGTGCGTGGACTGGTAACATGTTTTTGGATCGTTACTAGCAACACCTTAAATGCAACCTGTGGGGACCAGCAGGTAGTATAATGGTTACGTCAATGGACTCCCACGTAGGCGACTACAGTTTGAGTCCTGAACCTGGCGGCTTAAAACTCATGCTGGATATGTGTGTGTGCATGCCCAAGATCCAGAGAGGAGAATGGAGAAGGGATTAAGCCTGTCTCTCTGGTGAGTGCACGTGCCTTGGAACAAAAATCTCTCCAAAAAAAAAAAAAAAAAAAGAGCAACCCGTGACTTCACTTATGTGGGTGAAGGATTTTAGCTGAATCCAAAGTTCAGGTGGGGGCATGGATAGGCAGAGCTAAACAGTACAGAAGGCTACGTGGAAGATGCGGTTCGGTTCCCCGGTTCACCTGCACACGCTGCACAGGGGTGCCCTGGATCCCGACTGGCCAGGAAAGGGTGGGGGCAGGGACCTCAGCATGAAACCCTGTTGCGGGTGCTCCACTCTGTCTCTGCCCGTTAAATCAGTACACACTCCGGAACGAAGAGAAACACAAGATGTTTTTACAGCATTATTTTGTAATAAGAGAACAGAAATAGTCTACATGTTCAAAAGGAGGGGTTCAAGGGAACTAGCCCCAGAATGCAGTGGGATATTACAGAATGGTTAAAAAGAATGCGAGGTTCTCCCCTCAAATCGCTCTGTAGGTTCACTGCAATCCCTTTCTAAATCTAGGTGGGATTTTTCATACACGGATAAGATGATCTTTAAAAAACATGTAGATGGGACCAGCAGGTGGTGTAGTGGCTAAGGTGCTGGACTCCCACCTGACTGACCATGATTCAAGTCCTGGGCCATTGGCTTGAAAATCATGCTGGGCGCATATGTGTGCATGCCCCAAATCCCAAGAGGAGAGTCAAATAGGGATTGGGGTGTAGCCATCCCCCACTGGGGGGTGGTTTTTACTTTCCCTCTCTCCATCTCTGTCTCTCCCTGGTGAGTGCATGTGCTTATGGCAGAAAAAAAGTGTATGTAGGTATACAGAAGAGCCAAATCCATTTTGGAAAAGAACAAAATCAGAGGGGCCGGCAGGTGGTGTGGTGGTTAAAGCACTGGACTCCCACATGGCCAACCATGGTTCGAGTCCCAGACCTGGCAGCTTGCTTCCTCCCCCTTTCTTTCTCTCTGTCTGTCACTCTCTGGTCAAAATTGAAGAATAGTAATCAAATTTAAAATAAATAATTCTTTAAAAAAGAACAAAATCAGAGAACTTACAATGTGATTTTAAAACCCACTATAAATAAATATATATTTATATACATATATATTACATAATGAATATGTCAAATATATATTTAATATTATATATTAAACATATATACATAAATTATATATATATATTTGTGATTGAGCTGAAACTTAACAGGTTCCTGAAATGTGAGACTTTCAGGTCTTATTTTCCTAAATACATTTTTTTTCTTGTAAAGGCTTTTGCATTATGTTTTGGGCACGCATGCACATGTGCCCAGCGTGAATTTCAAGATGCCAGATCTGAGTCTTGAACCACGGTCGGGCATGTGGGCGCCCTATGTCTTAGTCACTATGCCACCTGCTGGCTCCAGGGCCTTTAGTTTTAAAACTGGGAAAGACCCAGGCACACTGGGACAAGCTGGCCACGCTGTTAAAAAGCGTGTGTGATTTTTGGTGGAAAAAGTGGAAAAGAAAATCAAGACCTGAAACTATAGTCAGTATCCACTGATTTGATTTTTTCTTTTTTTTGGAGAGATTTTCACGGTAGGGCGCGTGCGCTCGCCAGACAGACAGAGAGAGAGATATAGAGACAGAAAGCGAGACATTACCCCACTCGCCTGGAGGGATGGCCATGCTGCAGTCTCTTCTCCTGCATTCTCCTCTCAGGAGCTTGGGCACTCACGCACAGGTGCCTGGCAAGGGATAAGCCACCAGGTCCAGGACTCGAACCACGGTCGACTACGTGGGAGTCCAGCAACATAGCCATTACGCTAACTGCTGGTTCCCTGATTTGATTTTTTAAAAGAGATTTTTGCTATAAGGCAAGTGCACTCGCCAGAGAGACAGAGTCAGAGAGACAGAAAGCGAGACATTACCCCACTCCCCTGGAGGGATGGCCATGCTGCAGTCTCTTCTCCTTCATTCTCCTCTCAGGATCTTGGGCACTCACGCACAGGTGCCTGGCAAGGGATAAGCCACCAGGTCCAGGACTCGAACCACGGTCGACTACGTGGAAGTCCAGTGACGTAGCCATTACGCCAACTGCTGGTCCTAGTATCCATTGCTTTGTAACAGAAGTAGCAAGGCGGTTCTGATCTATACAAAACAAAATATTCTCCCTTCTCCTGAAGTTCCACAACTCAAAATAAATTATAGCCCTTAACGTAAGAGCTAAAACTAAGGCTAGCAAGAGGTGTGTTGGTTAAGTCCTGGACTCCCATGTGGCCAACCATGGTTCAAGTCTTGGACCTGGCGGCTTGATTTCTCATTTTCTCTCTCTCTCCCTCTGCTGAGCACACTTACCCTATGACAAATTAAAACATAATAATGAGAATAATGAAATTAAACAAGTAATTAAAAAAAGCTAAAACAAAATGCCTTCTGGAAGATCTCTATAACCTTAGATTAGGCAAAGATTTCCCAGATAAGACACCAAAAGCATAAAAGAAAAAAAAATCAAGAAATCATACTTCATCAAAGTTAAAGAATTTTTGCTCTTCAGACAATTATTAAGACAAAAAGACAAGGGGATCAGCAGTTGGTATAATCGCTATGTCGCTGGACTCCCATGTAGCCAACTGTGGTTTGAGTCCCGGACCCGGTGGCTTAAACTCACGCTGGGCGCTTGTGCGTGCGTGCCCAAGATCCCAAGAGGAGAATGGAGGAGAAGGGATTGTAGTGTGGCCATCCCCCCC